AAACATTTCATTGTCTTCTTGCTCCCATGGTTTCTGTGGAGAAGTTTTAAATACTTTTACTGTGATATACCTAGGTGTATTTTTCTTTGTGTTTGCAGGATTCCTTGAATCTATAGTTTGATATCTTTTCACTTTTGGAAAATTCTCAACTATTATCTCTTTCAATATTACTTCTGCCCATTATTTTCTCTGTTCCTTCTGGGACTCCAGTTACATGTTAGATATACATTCATGTATATATCTTTTTTTCTTAGGTACTTCATTCTGGCTAATTTCCTGTGGTCTGTCTTTCATATCACTGCTTCTTTCTTTAGCACAATCTATTAAGCTTATCTGTGAGTTCTTAATTTTGGTAACTGTCTTTTTCAGTTCCTGAATTTCTATTTGGTTCTCTTTTATAGATTGCTATTTTCTGCTGATACTCTTAATCTTGCCTTTTATCTTCTTAAACATATTAAGGATTTTATCTCGAACATTTTGGAGCCTGTATCTTCATTGTTTGGTGTCCCTGTAGATTTGTTTTAATTTTCTGTCTTCTTTGTTTTTATTTGTGTCATCTTGTCTCTTTGTATACCTTGTTATTTTTGATTATCAGATACTGTATATCAGAGATTGTAGAAATATTTGGAGGCCTAAGATGCTGGTATAAATCCTGTCTGGAAGAAGATGTTTGCTTTTGGCAAGCAGCCTAGGGTCACTGGCAATCCAGGATCACTTTAATTTCAGGCATTGAGGGGAAACTGCTTACTTCCAACATGTAGCCCTTCAGGTTTCAACTCAAAGCATCGATGATTTACCAGAGTTTCCTCCCCCTTATCAGTCACCAGACTATAATTTTGTTTCCCTAGCTCCACAGTTCTGTCTCTCAGCCCTGTAGCCACCTCTTGCCAAATCAGCAAGTGCTATAAGAGAAAAGAAGCCACAAATGCTGGACTCTCCCTCTGGATTTCCTTTCTCTCCCAGATGCTGTCATGTTATCTCTTAAGGGTCTTATACAATCTCTACTGCCTTCAAGATTTAAAAATATTTTATTCACTTTTTATAGCTGTTTTTAGTAGAATGATTGGTCCAACTGTCCAAAATATCTAGTTTATCATTACTGAAAGTGAAAGTCACCCCAGTGTTTTCTGCTAACTTCATATTTCTGTTCACAGATCGAGGCAATGACAACTGGCTGATTAAATATGATTGTCCAATGGATAGTTCTAGCTCTCGGGTAAGAGGCTGATCTATATCTTGAAGAAGAGGATGAGATGGAATATATGCAGAATATGGAAGTGCATAATGGTCTGATGTCTGTGTCACATAAGTTCAGAAGAATCAGGATAGCACATGTCTTTAAAATTGATAGGTTAATATTTGGTAGAGATTTCCTCAATCTGTTTTTTAAGGAATATCCTACTGAATGATGTTAATAGGGATAGAATGAAGAAAATTTCAAGTAAGTTTGGATCATATTACATACTTTGTGCCTTTTTTGGAGAGTCACATTACACAGTAGCATAATAAAGGTCTGAGAAATAGTGCAATAAATAAACCAGTGTGATTTTGTTTGGTCCTGTGATTTCTAAACCTTTGACTGTGGAATGCTTTTCTCATAAGAGACTGCAATTCCACAGAACATCAGTTTAGAAAAAGCTACATTGTGCAACTTTACTCTCTCATTGCTTTTATACTCCACCGCACTTCCCTATCCCTGTTCAGTCTGCATTATTTTAAAAAATTAGCAGGAAGGCTACCTGGAGCAGGAGAGTGAGGTTGGCTTTTATTCCTTGCAGTTTTTTTTTCCTTGCAGCTTTATTGTGATATAATTGATATATAACATTGTGCAAGATGTACAATGTGATGATTTGATACATGTGTGTATTGCAAAATATTTACCACAATAAGGTTCGTTAACACATCCTGATAGTGTCCTTACTTCCTTTCCTAAGAGTGGGCTTCAAATTCTGTCCATCAGCGTCACCCAAAGAGCTTATTAAAAGTAGTACAGATTCTACAAGCCATTCTTCCATTAGGTCTGTGGTAAAACTGACTTCCCACTTTTAATAAGGTATCACAGAGGATTCTGATGCAGGTATCCTGGACCCACATTCCCTGTTCCTGTGATGACACTGGTTAACCTGAAGCAGGTAGCCAAGTAGACAGTCATGGGAATGTCTCCACTCTCTGTGCATCCAGCTCTTGTCCTTTTCTTTTTAATGTATCACTGAAGCAGTGGAACAGACTGCCTTGAGCAAGAGCAGCCAACTCTTATCTTCCATGGTTCTGTTATCTTACTGGAAAATGTGGTAACCACCAGTGAAGTGGCATCTGAGTCAAGGTCCACACAAAAGGACCTTGATTGACTGAAAGTTGATTTTTCTTCTTTCTATACTCAGTATTCTCACTGCCTTTCCCTAGGAGGAATGGCTTCTAGTTATCTTTTGTTATTGTCAACGTCCCATCTTACCAAGGACTGTGGCAACTCTTGGGGAAGTATACCTTTTCTCAGATGAGAAAGGGACTCTGAGAACCTTAAATAAGCCAAATCAGAGGTGCCATAAATGTATCAAGTCTAAGTAACAATATGGAAATTAGGTCAGAAGTTGAGTAGGGATTGGTGCCTGAGGAGGTTGAGGTGGGATGCTTTCTTACTACTTTAAAGGGACTCTGTAAGTATTTAATCTTTCCTTCCTCTTCAGGACACAGACTGGGTAGTGGTGAAGGAGCCTGTTATCAAGGTGGCTGCCATAGACAATGGGCTGGCTTTCCCCCTGAAGCATCCTGACTCCTGGAGGGCATGTAAGTCTCAAGACCACTGTGGTCTGGCTCTTTTCTTGCTCAGTCTCAGTTTTCTTATCTGTGCAGTGAAGATAATAATGCCTCTATCACAGGATTGTTCCAAGACTTTATGAAATAATGCAGCTTCTGCACTTGAGCACAGTGGCTGGCACGTGGCAGCTACTCCTGCTGTGCTTTTCGTGTAACTTTTACCTTACATTATTCCCACTAGAAGCATAGAATTGAGTTTTCACATCTCTGCTTTGCATTTTTCTTATTTTTTTCTGAGGACTATCTTATCATAATTTATTCTATTTGTGTTTCTAAATATAAGCTGCTGTCAGTGTTCTGTCTTCCTTGTCAGCAGCCTGGAAACCAACCCCTGCCCTGCTGTAAATGAGAAACTTGGAAAGGGAGAGATACAAGAAGGGGGTCACTAGCCCCTTTGCAGTACTAGTGTGTCTTGTCAGAAGGAACATCTCAATGTTTCAGTGGCAACTAATTGCTTCTAGACAGGCTTGTGTCTTGGAAAGTCATATAATGTCTGAGAAAGGGCACAGGCTGTGGGATTAGGCAGACCTGGGTTTGAATCCCAGGGTTAACAGTCCTTATAACTTTTCTTCTCTTCGTGTCTCAGCTAAGAGGGGTGTCCTGCCTTTGCCAGTGATCTGATAGGTGGAGGACATAGACGGTAGGGACTTTTTCAACAGCAGCTTTGCTTTTGACTTTTTCTCTTTTCAGATCCTTTTTACTGGGCTTGGTTGCCCCAGGCAAAAGTCCCATTCTCTCAAGAGATCAAAGATCTGATTCTTCCAAAGATATCGGACCCTAACTTCGTGAAGGATTTGGAGGAGGACCTGTATGAACTCTTCAAGGTTAGCCCTGGGAACCTCAGGCCCTATAACCATATAGAAGAAAGAATTCCAATGGTTTTTCTAATTGGACCTGATACAAGCCAAGAGAGAGTGGAAACATCCCCTCTGGCTTGTGTTAGCCCGTGAAGAACAAGATTCCCCACTGTGGACAGCAAGACCTAGTTTGGATTGGTTTGAAAAAAATTGCAACTATGATGAATCACACTGGCATGCATCCTGTGTGTCACTTGTGTCATGTGGCTGCAGCGCATCAGCAGAGCTCTCGTTTTCCAATGCAGCACGAGAGCCTGGAGTTCTTTAGAGTTAACAATGAGACTAAGGACAAGATACTTACTTGTCCTCTGGTTCCCCAACTGTGAAACAGGGAGTTTCTGGAGTGGTAGTTAACTTCACTAAGGCTCCTAAGCCTCATGTAGGTCTTCTTTATGAGAAAGTCTCTTAGTGGGGGAAGAAAATGGGTTCTTCTGAGGGATTCATGCAGGTTCCATCTCCTTCTGCCCTTCTTTTGCAGAAAGATCCTGGTTTCGATAGGGGCCAGTTCCATAAGCAGATTGCTGTCATGCGGGGACAGGTAAGCCTGGGACATCCTGCTGGCATCATTCCTAGGATTTCTCTGAGAGGGTTATATGCTCATGTTGAGTAAATGTGCAAAGCTTGAATTTTACACCCAATTTAGTCTATGTCATACATATTTGTAACTCTGCCTTAATACCCAAATCTCCCACCTCTTCCATGGTATCCAGTACTTGGTGAAGCACTTACTATGTGCTTAGTGCTGTGCCACTTGCTGGATAATTCATTGGTAAGTTTACCCGGTGGTCCCTGTCCTCAAGTTGCCCAAGGCTGGCCGTGTGTCTTGGTGATTAAGGCTCTGGAATCACACTGCTGCATCACTACTTCCAAGCATCATGGCTTGGGCAAGAGCCTCCGCTTCCTTGTTTATAAACTGGGACAGGAGTCATACTTTGCATGGTTTGGCCAGAGGATTATAGGAGATAATTCATATCAAGTGTTTAGTAAAAACAATGCCTGGCACATGGTAAGCACTCAGATGTTGGCCATGATTATAATTTTTGTTGTTACAGTTATAAGCCATATTATTTCTTCTTTCTCCACTTCACCTTCAAAGAGAGCTAAGGAAACCCCCGTAGCATTGTTGATCTTCCAAAGAATAGTAAAGAATAGCTTGAAAAATTGTCCAGAAACTAGGACACTTACATTCTGCTTATCACTTTGAAGTCTTCTTAAAGAGAACTGGGTGGCCTAGCAGTTAGGGCACAAACTGGCCAGAGTGCCTGGTTTGAATCCTGGTTCTGCCATTTACTAGCTATGAGGTGTTAAACGAGTTAATCTCTTTCTTTTGGTTTCTCCATCTGTAACGTGGGATTAATAGGAGCACCTACCTTACAGAGTTATTAGGAGATAAATGATTGAAAGCAGTTGGAGTGGTGCTGATGTACTGAAGTACTCAATATGGGTTAGCTGTTCTGATTATGATTTTTATACAGCTTCTCACATCTTTAAAGGACAAGGAGGTTTTCTTAGTCATAATTATGCGTTTACCTTTATAGCACTTCGTGAAAGGCTTCTGGTGACAGCAGCTCTTGAGTTTACTGCGCTCATTTTCCCTGGAAGTGGGACAGAGAGAGGTTTTAAGAGCTGTACTTATTATAGCTGCCTGAATACCAGTTATGTGGTCTTCTTACATTTTCCAAATAATGTAAAGACCCAGTTAACTGGCTGAATTTTTAGAAACCTTTTAAAAGCCTCCTGATGGACTCTGGTATTCTGGAACTCAGCATAAAGGAACAAACTTCTTCTCAAGTCTCTGTAGTCTGTGCCTCTGTCCCCACTGTACTGTCTTCTCTAATTCCTTCCCAGCTCCAGTCACTTGCCAACATCATAGCAACCCTCCTCTCATTATATTTAGTTAGGGTTATCATTTAAGAGTGGCAGAAAGCAGGGTGGGGTGGGGTGTGTGGTTGAGTGAGTGCAGTTTTAGCTTTCTTTCCATCTTGTGTGCTTAATGTCCTTTGAGGGCCTGTGACATCTTACAACCTAGAGTGCCTGCCTCTGAAACCATAAGGTTCCATGAGCATCAGCTCCTCCTGCTAGCATGTAAGTGGAAGGAAGTCACAGCCTTCTACCTACCTGAGCCGTAAGCACACAGGGGGCTGTACGATGGCCTGGAGCCAAAGGGAAGAATGAAGAACCTCCAGAGAGATGCAGTTGTGTGATAGAAGTTATTATTCACCATAAGGGCTTCTAACCAGGAGTTAGATAAAGATTGCAGGGTCTGAGGGAAAGCTGCTTTAGATAACATTTTTTATACCTCTATTGTGGTATAATTACTGTACAGTAAACTGCACGTATTTCAGATGTACACTTTGATGAACTTTGATAAATGTATACACCTATGGAACCACCACCACACTCAAGATAGCTGACATTTCCATCACTACCCAAGAGGTGCAAATTTCAAACTCCCAATTTATCCCTTTTTACTCCCTTTACCCCGGTAACCATAAGTTTATTATCTATGTCTGAGTCTGTTTAGATAACACTTTTGAAGACAGTATTTATTTTTTAGCATTATGTATGTATATTAACATTTAGCTATAAAATTTTCAACTTCTTAATTTGAAAATTTTCAAACCTTAGCAAAGTTGAAAGAATGGGGTCTTCTCCTAGACTCACCAATTATTACATTTAGTTGGCCACATTTGCTTTATCTCATATCTCTATATAGTATCAGTCTGAATAGTATCTATCTCTATATATCTATATAATTTATCTCTTTAATGTATCTATATAATTTCTCTCTCTCCCTAGATAGATTTTTCTTTCTTTGTTTTTGGCCAAATCTTTTGAAAGTGAGTTGGAGACAGTTTGACATCTTACCCCAAAGACTTAAGCATGCTTGAGAGGTGGCTTCTAACCTGAAGAGCCAAAGGAAGCACAGGGGCACCCAGCCAGAGCAGGTGTAAGATCCCGTCTCTTAAGTTGGGTGGTCTCCTGCACAGTCCACCCTAAATCCATTTGAACTTCCTTTTAGTCCTCTGCCCTGATCTTGCACTCAAGGCTCTTTGAAGCTGTGTAGGATGCTGCCAAATACCAAAACAAGTAAGTAAAAAAGAAATTAATTTTTGGTAGGATCCACTTCTGCCTTCTGACCTCTGTTCCAGGTGAATCTGTGCCTCTCTGGGGGCAGCATTTGTAGCCAAAGGTATTTGTGGCTTGAGGGCTGTGTGTCTGTGTGATTTGTGGGGTGCCACCCAGCTTACCCTCCCATGTGTCTCTGGCCTGGCATGAAAATCTTCAACATCCCACGGTTTGAAGGGGGCTGTCGTAGGAAAACTTCAGCTTTTGTACTGTCCTACAGAGAAAATAAATGGTGGTGATTCTCATTTTGATAAGGGGAAGAAAATGTGTCCCTCTGGACACGTATCTGAAGTATCTGTAAAATACAGACAAAAGTTTGTAAGGATCTGAATGCACTGTGGTATCCTGGAACAGAAAAAGAACAGTACTGGAAAAGCTCATGAAATCCACATGAAGTCTAGAGTTTGGTTAATCCTAATGTTCCAATGTTGATTTCCTATTTTTGGTAAATATACCATGGTTATATAAGATGATAAAATTAGAAGAAATTGGGTAAATAGTATATAGGAACGGTCTGTACTATCTTTGCAATTTTTCTGTAAATATAAAATTATTCCAAAGTAAAAATTTTATTTAAAAAAGATGATGAAACACAGCATCAGAGGTAGAATTCAACTGAAATGGCTTTTTTTTTTTTACAATATAAGAGAATTTAATGCTTTTTTAATTAAAAAATTCAACATTGCCAGAATTTAATGGTTTCATTTTCTTGCACATGATCCAGAAAGCTGACTTTTGACTTTTTTAAAAAAAATTTATTTTATTGAGTTATAGTCAGTTTACAATGTGTGTCAGTTTCCAGTGTAGAGCACAATTTTTCAGTCATACATAAATATACATATATTCATTTTCACATTCTTTTTCACCATGAGCTACCACAAGATCTTGTTGAAATGGCTTTTTTTTTTAACACATGGTTTTTGTGGGAAAATCAAAAAATAAGGATAAACAATAATAAACAAATAAAAATCATCTATAATTCCTTGACTCAGAGATGATCACTGCCAACTTGCAGGCTTTTTTTCTCTGTAGGTAAGTAGATAAGAAAATAGAATTTAGAAAATATAGGGTCACATTATAATTGTGGTTCCTTATCTTCTTTCTTTTTGATCTAAGACACTGTGATCAGCTTTCCGTGCCAACAGAATATATTTTTAATTGTTTGTTTCTAATCCCTTAAATTATTAACTGATTTCATACTCTCCTGGACATTTATATCGTTTTCATGATACTGCACTGTTATTCATTGAAACTAAGTATTTTGTGCACATCAATGATTGTTTCCTTAGTTCTTAAAAATGGAGTTGCTGAGTCAGAGGGCCTGTTCACTTTTAAACCTTTATGGTCCACTTGCCTGCCGGAAAACCTGTCCCAACATCCAGCCCACAGCCATGCCTCAGAGCTCTCCCCGGCTCTGAGTCATCATTTTCTCTGTATCTTTACTAACTAGGAGGGCAAAAAAAGAGGAGGTATTTGTTTTCATTTGTATGTTTTAAATGAAGAGAGAGGTTTCCATTTTCTGTATATTGCCCACTTACTTTCCTACCTTTGTAAATAGCTTATTTGTACACTTTTCCGTTAGCCCATTGTTTATTTTTGTATTGATTTATAGGAGCACTCTATCTGTAGGTCTCTCTTCAGAGGCAGACCAGAATGCCCAGGCCTTTCTCTCACTGATCTCATTTTTCCCACTGCAGATCCTAAATCTGACACAGGCCCTGAAGGACAACAAGAGTCCCCTGCATCTCGTTCAGATGCCACCCGTGATCGTCGAGACGGCCCGTTCTCACCAGCGGTCTTCTAGCGAGTCCTACACACAGAGCTTTCAGAGTCGGAAGCCCTTCTTTTCGTGGTGGTAGACCCAGAGGTGGACAAAGGCATATTGTCTGAGACTTGGGCTGGGAGGAAGCCTGGGGAGCGTTGCAGGAAAAGCCACAGAAGCCGGTGGAGAGCAGTGCCCTCAAGAGCCCTCCTTTCTGCTCGCCATCCCCCTCAGAGCTTTCCCAAGCACAGGGAGAAGCACAATCAGAGGGACAGCGTGTGTTGTTGGGCTCTTCTGAGTGCTGGGGAGGACTGGCGCTCCATGCAAGGGATCCAGATGCCTGGGAAGGAACATCCCCCTTGGGGCAGGCTGGGAAACTCCCTTCCCTCCCTGACACTCCACTTTGTTACAATTCCTCATTATATTCTGCATCAGAAAAAAAATACAAATTTAAATACTAGTAGCAAAACCCAGGCAGAATCCCAGATTCTCTTATGTTTGAAACCTCTGATCCAGGCCTAAATTCACACGGACCCAGACATCCTGGTGCCTCACAGTTCCTTACTCCTGTGGACCAAGGCAGCTGGTGCCTCAAAAGTGCTGGGACAGATAGAAGCCATGCTTTCCTTTGGGTTCTTGCCAAGTCTTCTTCCCCTTCCCCTCCCATCAGTGCAATAGGCTGACTCTGAACACGATTCTCATGGTGGGGATGCTTTTGCTCTGGGACTCCCAGTAGTTTTACAATGATCATGTAGATCATCTCTGCCCCCTGCCCCGCTAGGGACCCATCCTCTGTAGTCCAGGCCTGTAGCTTGCTTATCACTCAGGCAAAGGCAGGAGGGAGGAAGCTGACTCCCAGCATGCAAAAGTGATCCATGCCTAAGTGTGTGCTGGAAGCTGTGATGGTCTATGGGTGAACTTATCCCAGCCTTGCTTCCTGAGTCCTTAGCCCGAGCCAAAGGTGATAACCTATCCCAGTCCTCTTATTTGTTCCTTTTGTTTCAGGTATTTTTTTCTCAACTCTTTCGACTTAGAGGTTTGGTTCTGGGTTCTGGAGTGGCTCTTGGTGAAGATTCTGGGATGGGTCTCAGCTCATAAGAGGACAGGATTTTAGGTCCTTGGACCTTCTTTTTATGCCACCACTGCTGCCTGGTAGAGGTAACAGGACTTGTATTCTGCCTCCTAACTGGCAGCTTCCATTTGCTTTCTGACTTCTTGTTCCAGGCCAGTTTTTCCATGGCTTCTTGAGAAAGGTGGGGCCCAAAGGAGAGGTCTTCACACTGTCCCCTAGTGCCTGCCCAGCCCAATGTGCGTCTCCTTGCTTCCATGTCTCCTTTGCCTCAGCTGTCCCCCTTGCCAGCTGTTCCAGCCCTTTCCACACCAAAGCAAAGAATGGCCTTGGGGGTAGTGAAGAGGGTGCCACCTGTGGCTCAGGGGCAGCCCTGTGCTACTGGACGTTGCGTTTCTGGCACCCTGCGATAGGCCAATCAGTCTTGGAAAGAAACTATCTTGAAGGTTTGATAAACAACCAAAGAAAGGGAGCGAGGACTGTGGCTGTGTGCCCTCTGCTTGCCCCGCTCCCGCCGTTCAGGAGGCAGAGATGTGCAGCCCTCGTCAGCGGGGCCAGGCTGGTCCCCTTCCAGTCCAGCCCCCAGGAGCCAGCTGATCCTGGGCTTCCACCCAGCTGACAGGAAGAGTCTGGGAGCTGGACATGCATGCCCTGTGGACGAAGGCACAACACCCCAACCAGCCCCAGCCCTGACAATCCCACTGAGCTGGCCCGGACTCTGGCCTTGGGGGCACATTTGTGGGAACATGGGAACAGCAGGGCTCCCAGAGGCTGGAGGGGACACAGGTGTGTCTGGCTCTCCTCAGACATCTTTACACAAACATGGTGGTAAAGTGCCCCGCCTTGGTGTCAAGAGAGCTGGTTCCTTCCCCCACCAAGCAGATCTGCACGTTGCCCTCATCCAGACCAGCTCTAGGATGAGAAGGACATTGGGTCCAACATAAGACGGAGCGGGTCCCAGTCCTGGCAGGCGAAAGAGTGCAGGGCATCCTTTCCTGGCCCACTTCCATTCTCCTTGAAGCCTGTACTCAGGTTGCCTTGAATGTGGACTTTAGGAGAGCCAGGGCCCAGAGTGCCAAGGCAGGCTTCTGGGTGGCACTCGTGAAACGGCCCAGCCCTCTGCCAGCCACAGGTCCTGTCCCCTTGTCAGGGAGTAGAGGTTGGGCTGCGACAGTGCTGCTGCCTCTGTATTGTTCTAATGCACTGTAGAAACTGTATGTAATGTATTTAAATCATGCAGATTACGAATAACAAATCCAACTCCGACCTTTCTTGTCTAGTTTTCTTTGGTGGAAGGAAGACAAGGTAGAATGCAGTTTTAAGGACAAAGAACCCTGTGTTGCCATGGTATTGCTGAGATATGGCTCCTGAGTCTCTTTTCCTCTAGTAGAGGAAGGTACATGTCCTCATTTCCCAAAATAGTCATAAATCATCTGACACCAATACCCTGACCTGAACCTACACTGATGCAAAGCTATTTGTAATCATCATGTATGCCTCTTACTGTGAATATTTACTGCAGAAATACTGGTGTCTTGTTATGAGATGTTCCCCCAATGAGGATTATACAGTACTTGCACTGACTTTCTAAATGCTGAAAAAATTCTGAATTCCAAAATCGTCTAGCCCCAAGGGTTCGGGATGAGGAATGAGCGGACTTCTCTTCTTGGCCACAAGAGGGCAGTGCTGCTCTGTGTGTTCATCTCTGCCCACTTTGAGTGCTTTGAACCCTGGCTCCTTTAAGTGATGGATAAACAAGCAGAATGGGTGGGGAGGGGAGCTGAATGCTAACAGGCACGTACATAGTAGGCTCCTTTTGAACCAAGGCCTGAATGGTTTAAAATCCTCACCTAGGGTTTTCAGGCTACAGGAAACCAGTAATACAAAGAGGCTCAAGAGTGATTGGTGCAGCAGTTGAGCCACCGCAGGACGGCTGGTCCGCAGGGAAGAAGCCACTGCCACTACACTGACTGCAGACTCATCCAGCCCAGGGACCCACTGTAATGCCTCCCCCTTCTAGAGCTGCCTAAGGGCCAAGGACCCCCTCCTTTCCTGGGATCAGGACTGTCTACAGAGGGGCTTCCATCTCGCCTCCCAATTGGAAGCCTGTGGGAAAGGAGGCCAGCCTGATTTTCCCCTTCCTGGGAACAATGAGCCCAGCGCCTCAGCCCCTGGCTCCTGAGGTCCACTTTGGCATCTTCCCCTTCTGTGACAGACTCACATAGTTCTTGATGCAGATGTTTTTATTTTGCCACTTAAACCACGTTTTCCTTGTGCTGGTCTGAAGGGGCAGGACTGTGGGACAGGCTGCTGGACCACGGGTTACAGTAGTAGCAGGAGGATAGTAGCAGGAGTGGTGAGATGCTGAGTCTGCGTACCTGTCACTTGACTCCCAGGGGTATGTCATGCAGCCCAGTATAGTGTTAAGTTGGGAAGGGCTGAGGCAGGGACAGTCACTTTCTCGACCTGGTGAGGAGTGGGTCCCATATAACAGCTCAGTGGAAGCCTCCGGTCCTGTTCTGACTCGAGCAGGCCAATGGCATCAGGATTTCATTTACTTATGTGAGGCTTCACCTCTCTCTTCCTTCTTCTCCCCAGGCCCTTTGGCCAAAGTCCCTATGAATCCTGGGGAAGACACAGCCATTCCCAGCCCCTTCCCTAGATCAGTGTCTGATCTGATGGAGGTAGCTTGTGGGACTCGGCTTCCTCCAGTTCCGGCGGATCCTGGCACTTGCCCTCCTAGAGTTCAGATACTGATCGCCGGAAGCCATCTCCGTGGCACTGCTCTGTGGGTCGGCTGGTGGAGCGTGGGACTCTGGGATTCTGCAGGGAACAAGTGTGTGTTAAGCCAACATCAATAGGAAGGACAGAATGGGGACTGAAGAGATTTTGGTCATGATGAACTATTAAAGCACACTGTTCAGGGCCAAGTGAGACCAGGGCTCCAGTCTCATCTCTGCCCCCCGAGAGCCGCATGATGAAGCAAAGCTTTCAGACTGCTCTTCTGTAAAGAAAGTTGAACTAGATCAGGGGTATGACACTCAACATTTCCCCAGCTTCCTCATCCTATAATCATGGCAGACGTCATTAGTCAGTCATAATACGAGACCAGAAGGCAAGTATCCTTTCTTAAGAGGATTTCAATAGGGATTACTCATCAGTTAGAACCAATATGAGCAATGAAACTGATTTGCTGCCCCAGACCTAATGATCTCAGAAGGCCTGTTAAGACCTAACATGCTGACTGTGGGCCCCAGAGAAGGCAGCCATTGGAATGAAGCGCAGAGTGTAACCTGCAATGGTTGGTTAGGCCACGTGGTTCAACTCCATCTCTTGGGGCTTGCTGTTCCTGAGCTGTGGACTCCACAATATCCTCCTATGCTGTATTCTCAGTAATCCCACAGCCAAGATTTTCACCAGGCTTACTTCTGAATGTTACCTGTTCAACAGGTAAACAGGATTTTTTTTCCTTCCAAACAGTAGTTCCTCCCACCTGGTGGAGAATCACTGTGAAATGAGGTGGCACTGATAGGACCCAGGCACCCCTTTCCCATGGGAGTTCACAGGGTCACAGATGACTCCAGGAGTAACAGCAGCCATGGGGTAGGTGCCGTGCAGACCTTACAACAACACAAATGGTAGGTACTTCACAGTGAGGCCAGGTTAGTGGCTCCAAGTCCGCCTCAGGGAAGTAGTGGAGCGGCCCGTTAGCGCTCCCCTCCCCTCAGCCCTCCAGCCCCGGGAGCCTACCTGAGCCGGCTGCAGTGGTGTAGCGAGTGGCTCAGGGGCTTCGGCCGTGGGGGCCGCTTCCTGCGCAGCCTCTTCAAGGCCTCGGCCACGTGGTGGTCCCCAGCACACTCCCAGACGATCTGCGCGCGCTCCTCAGCCAGCTGGTCCCCACTGCGCTGAAATAGGCCCTGGATCTGCAGCAGCTCAGCGTCCTGGAAGATGTTGGCCGAGGCCTGCTTGCGGCCCCGGGTCTCAGTCGGGGCCTGCCAAGGGGGCGGCTCGCTCACCACAGAGGCAGGGGTGCCCATTCTGGGTGCTCTGAGGAAGAAGCATGGGGCACGTCAGCAGCTCTGCAGGCCTCTCCCTGACTAGTCAAGGGCTCCTGGTGTTTCTATTCTCCAGGAGCTAAAGTGGAGTAAGCTTTGACTTAAAATCGCTCTAATTTCCCTGGGCACCTTGGGGAAATACCATTAATAATGATAGTCAAACTTTACTATAAAGTGCTTTATGTGTCTGACACACGTACAGACTTACTTAAGAATCACAGAAGGTGAGAAGTGCTCATCCCCACTCTACAGATGAAGTGAGACTCAGATGTGAAATGACTTTCTCGCAGGCACAAAGCTGTGTGTCGGTGCAGAGCCAGAAGTAGAACCCAGGTCTGTCCTGGT